CCAGGCATCAGTGTTTTTAAAAGTGCCTGTGTTGGCACTAATAAGCAGCCATAAACCAGCAGTAAAAGGCTTGCAGAGCTACAAAAAGGGGTTAGCTGAGGTGTTGGGGGCAGGAATTGGTTGTTCAGCCAATTAGCCTGGTTATAGGGCTCTCTCCAGCACCAACATTCTTGGAGCAGAAGCTGTGAACTTAGAGCGTGACACTTGTTTACTGCGGTTGGTAAGGCACTAAGCTAAAGAAATAAGACATAGAGGCTGGGGAAAAAGAATTGAATTGGCCAACAACTGGTTCTAATCTGATAGAAGAAGAAGAGGTTCTGACAAAAGTCAGTAAAATAATACTACCAACACCAAATACATTTTTTTTGAGTACTCTCTAGCAATCACTAAAATAAGTGATTTATACAAATTCTCATTCACTCTTACAATAGCTCTAGATCCTATTAGTCCCATTTTATAAATGCAGAAATTGAAGCTCAGAGGTTGTTGGTCTCAAGCTTGGAAGGTTCCAGGTCTGGCTGTGATTCAGGCTCATGGCTAGGACTAGGACCCTGGATTTAGAAGGTTACATTAGTGTAGTACGGTGCCTGCGCCTAAAATATGTAAACATAATTCAGCTTATTGTATCACACATGTGTGGCTGAATGCCACTATTGTACTCTGATATATGTGGAGCCTTGTGGTCCCCTGGGGAGCAGAAGGGGAGCACAAGAAAGGGGAGCAGAAGAAGAGCAGAAGCCTGCTCCCCACAATAGACTGCACTTTCCTCAACAGAAGTGCGCTCCCCACAATAAAGTTGGTATCTGCCTTTCATTCTCATGCCGGCCTCTTGTACATTCTTCCAACTGGGAGTCTCACCACTGAAACTTTCCCTTCTCAATCTGCTTGGAGCTGACAGATGTTAAGAAAGCTTTCCAAGTTTATGGAGTTGATAAGTGGCAGAACTGGATTTGAAACCAGATCTGATTAACTCTAGAACCTGAGCTCCCCGGTTGGGCAAGAGCAAGGGTGTGGGAAGGTGAGAGGATAGGAGCTTATGGGAATCCACTGTGTTTTGAATGAGCTTTGGATAGGCCCAGAGGAAATGAAATGAGAGGGTTTCTAAAGGAAATGATGGAAGGTGAGAGAACGATCCTTTTCTGGAGGCCAGAGTAGCAAATGTATTGGATGAAGAGTGGAAAATCGCATTGGGTAGGCACACTGGCAGTCCCAATCTGTCAATAGAATGTAGACTCCATGAGGTAAAAAGAAACTAGGAGACACTAAAGGTTTATTTAGGGGGTGGTTGACATGATAAAGAGGAATCTTTACAATTTATCAAGCAGATGAAGAGCTAGGAAGGTCACTGAGGAGACCTCTGCACTGAAATACTTTTTTTCTCTTGGTTCCTTATCTTATCCTGGTAGTCACCAATGTTATGTAATCTAACCATAGCACTCAGGAATGAAGAAATTGCCTACTCTATAGCTAGAAACTGCCTTGCCAGAGATCATAACTAAGGTCATGGTTCTATTCTCGAGGACCAATAAAAGGCTCTGTAAATTGACTAGTGGTAGAAAACCAGAGCTGGGCACTTTTTCAATTGTTGCTACTCCTGTAAGAGTTTATCCAGAAATATAATCTTGTTACAAGGTCCTGAGTACAAAGAAGGCATGGCATACCTACCAACACCATGACAATTCTGCAAGATCACCATGTACCCCCATCAATATTACCCATCAAGCAACTGTCCCTGAACTAACTCGGAAAGTATCCAAGGGGACCAGGCATCATAGATAGGGACAGCATCAGTTCTTTCTTGATCTGAGTAAACAAATTAAATTTATACCTAAAGACCTAGTTTCCAGATTTCAGTGTCTTCCTAGCCACACATTATTTTCAAATTAATAAGTTAATTTTGCTAAGGGACAATAATTTTAGAAAAATCGAAGAGGCAAAATGAATAGCTAGAATTCTCTGAGTGATGACCAGACATAAACAATGCTAGGATCCGATGAGGCCAAAAGATACCTGGTGAGCTGAACTAGCTGGTTGTGGTGCCATGGGAACTGGGAGATGTTATCTGTCAAAAGGAATATAAATTCTGTAAACTAAACCCAGTAGTTTGGGAAAAATGTTTTTAACCCACCCTCATCCCTCCTTGTTTGTAATATTGCTTTCCTACTTTTCAACTTGAGTTTACTCTGGAAGTAGAACATTATTCCAACAAAATGTGCCTGATGTGGTCTCTCAGTTATTGAAGACATCTGCTTAGTATGGATTAACTCCAGTGCAGTACTTGCACTTCTCTAAGGATATCTTTACTCAGCCTCAGTAGACTGACGCTGCTTCATTTTCTTCAGGTGTATAAATTAAAGAGGCAATTTTTACTTGCTATGAAGTCCGAAGAAAATGGTTCTTGGCTCCTTGGGCTCATTAGCCTTTAGTCTTGCTTAGTGACTACCGGAGGTTGCTAAGCATATTTGGAAAAGAACTTTATCTGTTGAAACTTCTTTTGGAAATCAAAATATTATACTACATGTGATGAAAGAGGGAAAATGTTGTACTATAAAGCTTAGCCAGGTGTGAAATAATAATTTTATTGAGGATATGGTATGTACAAATTTTTTTAAGTAATGAACACATTTGCTTACAGTTTGTTTTAAAAAAGCTATTATGTTTCCTTTAAAAAAAACCCTATAGAAAGTTAGAAGTGTGAAATCCATTTTAGCATGTTAAAAACATTTGGGTTTTAAGATAGAATCACAGATGAAAATACATCCAAGTTCAGATTACTTGGAATTCTAGTCTCTACCTTTTTTAAATTG